GATTCATTTCACCTGTGGATGCCACCTCCATGGGGAACCCCGAATAACTGGCATTTCTGCAATTATGCCCCCTTGTGTTGCCTTCAGTTCACCCAGTCGCTTCAGTGTGCTGATGGGGAAACTGAGGCTGAGGGGGCCAAATGCTGACAGGGGTAGGCAGCGGGTCAGTGTCACAAGTGGATCCAGTGGCTCAGCTGCTGACTGCTGTGGGCACCAAGTCGCCTTTCCCCCTTGCTCTGGGTGGGGTCACATCCTGCTGCTGAGCTTTCATCTTAGGGGACTGGGGTTGTACCCAAGTTCCTTCTTGGCTGGTAAGGGCAGCATTGCCGGGCAGACTGGCAGCGAATACCCCTCCCTGCACCGCCCAGCCAACAAGCTCACCATTAACCGGTCACTAGGAACACCCGCCTAAGAACCCATGCTGGCTTGGGCTAAATTAATCCAGAAAGAGTCATCTGGTGTTGAGGCCCCTCTTTTCTGGGCGGCCTGGACAGTGCTGAGGAGAGGAAGAGGAGGAAGGAGGGAGAGAGGAAGGCAGGGAGAAAGGAAGGGGGGTTATCTGAAAATTGGATCCCTCAGTTCCGGTGAGGACAGGAACTCCCCCTGGCTTTGAGTAAAGGAGCCTAGTCTCCCTTATCCCCAAGCCACCCAGGCCTGGGGCTGGGACAGAGGGCGGGGCGGGGGTGGGGTGGGGTGCTGGAGCAGAGCTTGTGAGCCAAGCTCCGTCCTGTTCAAAAAGTTTTCTCGTTGCTCCACTTGTCTGTTGCTAACAACACACCCAAACTCAGTGGCTTCAAACAACAATCATTTCTTCTACTCTTGAATGTACACCTTGAGAAGTGATGGCCTGGGTCTGGACTGTCTGCTTCCTGAGGCTTTTTCTGGGGCAGCTTATTGGGGCTGAAGGGGCTCCCTCCAGATGGTGCTCTCAAGTTGGGCCTGACTCTGCGCCTCTCCATGTGTCCTGGGCTTCTGCAGACTAGGGGGTCTGGGTTCCCAGGTGTCCCCAAGGGAGCCAAGTGGCAGTCATATTGCTACTTGTCACCTAGCTGCAGAAGTCCTCTGGCATCACATCACTAATCCACATGGACAGAGACCTCCAAGGCTGGCCCTCGGCTGCCCCTCTTGACCTGGACATGGCAGCTTCTAGATGGGTATGTGGCACAGGAAAAATGTGTCTCAGCCATTTTTGGAATTGTAGTCTGCTCAGGCATTGACCCCAACCACCGTAAGCAGGAAGGACCCTGATTTAGCCTGCATCCAACCAAGCATGCTGGGCTAGATCTGTGGTCTGGCCCAGGGGCCTCTGAGGGTGAAAGTGTTTGAGGACCACTGTATTGGTTTTTCCTGTTCTGGCATGGCCAGGAGCTTGTTCATTTGGAAAGTGTGCAGGGGGAAGAGAAGGGCTGGGGCCTAGGGGAAGTGGTCTGTGGTCCTGAGAGGGCTTTGTCCATTTTTATTAGAGGCTGCAGCACATTTCTGAAAGGAAAACCCTTTTCTTGATCTTCGGTTTCCCCTTTCATTAACAGACTCTCTCCCTCCCTCCCTCCTTCCATGCCTGTCCATTCCCCAGAGGCCTGGGCTGAGAAATGGAATAACATGGGCCATAACCAAGTGATTACTCTTCAAGCAGAGCCACTAATGTTGCTGTGAGTTGGACTAGCCAGGGTGTCCCCATACCTGGGCTTTCCGATAACACCAGGGTCTCCTGGGACCCTGCCTCTTTCAGATATGAGACTGGAAGTGGAAACTGTCTTGCCCGTGCACTCAGCAGTAAATGCAGGGAACAGGGCCCCAAAACACCTCTGTCACCTTTGTCCAGCAGTTTTCCCTGTTGTTACAAACATGAAGCCTTGCTAAAGGAACAAATCTGGGCCTGGGCCTCAGGTAGGGGTCTTGCTAATTGTAATGGGCAGGAAGGGACAGCAAGGGTCTCTATGATCCGAGCAGATGGGTGAAGGAGGAGTCCTGGAGCCCTTGGTGGCTTTTCAGGCTTTTATTGGGATTTTACTGGGTACACAGCAGGCAGGGGTGCTGCAGGCCTCCCAGCCCCCAGCAAGTCTTCACCCTATCTGGGCTCTCCAGCGTTCTCTGGTGGTCTCTGCTTCTCTCTCTGGCTCTTCCGTTCGTTCTCCTGGTGTCCCCGTGATGCCGCCCTTAAAAGCATAGCCTTAGCCCAGGTGAATCCCATCTACATATGCCCACAGCCTACTCCAGGTGCCCGCCATCAGGCATGCATTGAGGACCACAAGGATCCATCATCCGTCATCTGTCCTGATGGCGGGAGGGCAGAAAAGCCTGATACTTTTTCACTTACCCTACACTAATCATGTGAGGACTCGGGGGGAACATAGCCTTGCAAAGTCCCAGTGGAGTGTCTGAATGTTCCTGTGGGCTATGGGGAGAGGAGTGGCCCCTGGGCAGAGCAGGAAGGGGTAGGCACAGCCTGATGGACCTGAGAGCAAAACCCCAAATCAGCCTCTGGCCAGAGGGTCAGCTCCAGGCTGGGATCCCCTCGAGGACAGCAATCTCCCATGGGGCTGGGACAAGGAGTTGCTCCTCTTACTTTCATCCTATAGAAAGGGCATGCCAGAGACCCTGCATCCAGCGGGTGAGAAGATGACAACACCCCCCACAAGCTGGGGTGGAGACCCTGGGTCATCTTCCAGGGGATGAGAGCGGCCCAGCCCCTCTGCATGAGTCTCTAAGTTAACAAGTTCGGGCCTGATGATTAACTAGATTCACAAAGTTGATGAAAAAATCGGGATATAAATAAATATTCCTGGAGATATTCCACCCCCTGCAGGCATGAACTTTGAATAATTGGAGAGAATTATGCTGAGGACTAATCAAAACTTTTTTTCTTTCACTAATTACCTCTGGGTTCATCAGTGTCAGAGTCTAATCAACTCCAGACATCTTAATTGGCCCTCGGGAAATGTTAGGGATGGGGAGGGCTCTGGTGTCACATCGAAGGGGGACAGGAACTGGGGGAGCTAGCTGGGAGGCTGGGGATCCTGAATCCAGAACTATCCTGGTCTGGTGGGGGGGTAAAGGTTGGGGGAGAAGCTGCTAGGGAAGGAGGGTGAGAAGAGCTGATTTTGGGGCTGCCTATGCCTGCCTAGACCTCTGAGCAAGATAACAAAGCCCTTCCCAGTCTCAGGCCAAATTTCCTCCTCCATCCCTATTACTACCTTGGCTCACTGGGGCTTATCTGGGTAGATGAATGAGGGCCAGGCTAGGGACTGGCTAGGGGATTCTGGATTCTGGGCTGGGGTCCTGGGCATCTCCAGGTTTAAAGAGACTTTGCTCCCTGTCTGAATTGCATCTGATGAGAAATTCCTGCAGAACAGGGCTCCAGTGCTTGGGATGAGAGGCCCAGGCCTCCCATAGCTAATGGCTTGATCACAATTTTTTGTTGTCGGCAAGGGACGCCCTGGAGCTCCGGCGTCCGGGCTTTGTGGCCCTCATAGGTGCCTGCCCCTGGATTCTTTTACTGGTGCTACTGGTCCCTGTGACTGGCTCTGATGTTCTCCCTCCTCCCATTGGCTGTCCCTGAGCCCAGGAAAGCCTTTGACCAGTTTCAGAGGAAAATTCATCCCTGTGTGAAACCCACCCCAATATTCTCTGTTCAAGAAACTAAAACCCCCACTCAGACTCTCAGCTAGCCATGTGCCCTTTTTCCTGCTCCCCTTCCTTGCAAAACACCTGGGAGATGTACTGGGACAGTCAGGGTCCCAACTCCCCTTTCATCAGGACCAACAGGCTCCTCCCTCCAGGTTCTGTGCACCCAGTAGCCGCAGACCCTACAGAGTGGATTATGGAGCTTCGTGAATACCCGAGCCCCCTTAGGAGCCTGAATTTGGAGTCCCACAACCTGACTGGTGTTGGTGGGGGTTGGGGAGCTGCCCTGCAGCCTTCTTGTCTCCCCAGTCCTGCCCTCACCTATCCAGTTGGAGAGGCACCTCTTTCTGGAAAGGGCCATACCTGCCCAGGACAATTCATGTGGGAGTGCCTTCTCTGGGGGTGGGGATCCAGATGAGCACAGCTTCCCCCTGCAAGGGAATCTGAGACCAGGGCTCAGTAGGCAGTTCCATCCTGTCCTTGTGACCCCCTGAGAAGCTGGTTCTGTTCTCCATTTTCCCAGCAGAGATCCAAGCTGTGGCTCTGGTGACACTGTCAGACAGGCTCCTGCACCTGCCCTTCCACCTTAGCAGGACCCTGGCCCATGCCCTCTTTCCACTGCTGCCATGCAGGGAACCCATGGTGGGGCATCACGCATGCATGCACCCAGGCACACACACATCAAAGTCCAGCCACAGCAGTTTCCCTCCTGTTTGGAGGGCAGCAGGAGCTGCTCCTTGCCCACCATCCCTGCCCCCAGGGACATCAGGGTTCCACCCTCATGCCCAAACTGGCTTGCTGTGTGACTTTGGGGGCCAACCCTAACCTCTCTGGACCTCAGTTTCCCTTCTTGGATCCTTAGCAGATTCCATGAGCCCCAAAACCTTTTTGGCACAGACACTGAATGACTCCCAGGCCAGCCCCTGCCTCCAGGCGGAGCAGCCCACCCAGCCTTATGGGAAGCAGGCTCCCACTCCGCCTGGCCTGGGCCGCCCGGCCTCCTTGGCTGCAGCAGGAACATCTATCATGGTTCCCTGATAGATTATCTGTCCCTCTTCCTGCCACTGCTCTTGCTATTTCGGTTGCAGAATAATGTTTATCACTTCACACAACAGTGACACCTCCCTCCCTCCTCCCACTCCCTCCCTCCCGTGGGACTGCGGACTCCCAGCAGATACCACACACCATGGGCCACTTTCATGATTCGAAATTCCCATTCCCCATCCCCTCTTCCCTCTTATTACATTTTGGGCTCTTTTTGGGCTGCTGGAATGAGCGTACATTTTCCCAGTGATATATTTTTTAATAAAAGCCATCATTTATGATTATTTTTCTACCTCACTAACTGTCAGCCTTCTCATTTGATTTCTTATCAGGGCAGTTTCTGTCTGCTTTGTCACCCAGGCCCTGGGCTTCATCTCAGATTTGCTCCAGGACCACAGGCTCCCTCTGGCCTCCGGACCCTGCTGTCTCTTCCTTGCCCCGCTCAACCCAGCCCTGCCACCCTCAGTTCGCAACCTCTGGTCTTTGAAGCTTTTCTATTTTCTCCTCAGGTGAGTATTACCTGCACACCTGCTCTCAGAGTGGAGGGGATGGCCAGCCAGACCCCACCCCAGGCCTATGAGGACTGCCGGGCTCCTAATGAGCCCTCGGAATCCCGAACAGACGTTTCCTGACTCCACTAAGATCCCTTTCTAACCTGCAGGCATTAGCAACAAAAGCCACATGCTCAGTTCTGCGACTCAGTTTTCCCACCTTTAAATAGACAAAGATGCATTGTGGATCATTCATTCATTCAACAAATACTAGCAGAGGACCTACTACCGGGAATTGTCACACCCCTGTCCTAGGGTAGAAACTAGCTCAGCTGTGGTTGCCTTCTTGAGGACCAGAGCCCCTGCCCACATTCACACACACACTGGAGCCCTGGCTTCCCCATGGACAAGCCACTGACCTTCTCTGAGCCTCCTTAGCTTTCATTTTCTGGGCTTCCTCTCACCCTGGCTGAACATTATCTCTACTACAGGGATCTTATTTCTAGCACTGGCAGCTTCTCCCCAGCAAGTCTGAAGTTGCCTGCCTATGACCAGGGAAGCCAGACCCATCTTGAGGCATCCATGAACAGCCAGCCTCTGGACCCCATGTCCATTGCAGAAAGGATCTGTCTGTCCCCCTCACCTCTGCCTGTCTTCACTAGCCCCTGCTCACTGGCGATCTGCAGGGGACCCTGCTGGGACCCAGGGTCACTATCACAGGGTCTGATCTGAGGTAGGCCCAGGGGTCAGTGACTAGTTCTCTTGCACAGCCCAGCTCCTCCCTTATCAGAGGAAGAGATTGCTATGAATATTCATAGTGCTTCATGAATATTCATGACAATGACAGCACCTTCTCCCTATCCCCTTGCCCTTGGGTACCTCCATAGTCTTCAAACTCCCTACACCCGCTTCTCTTGGTGACCCCTGTCTGCTGTGGCTTCCCCTCCATTCACTCTCCTGGCTGCCCTTCAGAGTCCCTCTGCTCAAGGAGACCCCCAGATGGGAAAGTTCCCAGGCCAGGGGTTCAGGAAGTCCAGGCTACCATCTCAGCTCGGGTTCCACTCCCTAAGGGCTAGACCTTCTCTGGGCCTTAGACTGCTTTCTGACCTTTTGGCCAGAGAGGGTTCAGCCAGGCTGATTGGGCCCCAGGAGCACACAAACCCTCTCTGATTCCTCTTTCTGACTGTTCTATTGTGCTGGGACAAAGCAGGGCAGCTCAGGTTTCTGAGGGTGCGCCAGGCCAGATTTCAACTACTTAGGATGAGTAACCAGAGAAGCCCAGGGTGAGGTGTCCATATGCCCTCTGGGCCTGTGACCAGGGACTGCTCAGACAGTGGCTCTTAAGACCAGTTAGTTGGAGAGTGACCCAGGGCACAAACAGGAGGGGGTACAGGGCTTCGGGCACAATGGAAGGAATATTTGGACTTGGAAAGCTCTGTGAAGAGGGACATGGGAAGACCTTGGTCTGTGGGGTCAGGGTGAACTGGGACTGCCAGGGGGAATCAGGCTCCTGTGCTCATGGAAGCCATGACCTTGGGTAGCTGGCTCAGCTCTGAGCCTCAGTGTCCCTCTGTGCTGGCCTTCTCCAGGCACAGGAAGTCCCACTCTGAAGGTATTTGGCTATTATATTGCTGGGACCCAGCTTGGTCACAGTGACACAAATGCTGAGCTTGGTTTTCCAAGATCCCAGGAGGTGAAACCCTGCGCTCCCTTTCCCCAGGCCACTGTCCACATCCCTAGTGTTCAAGAGAAGCCCTCAATTGGTTCGCGGCTGCTGTGGCTGTTCCTCTGGCCTGGGCACTGCTTGTGCAGGACGCCAACTTCTTTGATCCTCCTTTAGTTCATCTGACTCACTGATCTGCAAGCTGTGGGAATTCTGGGCCCCTACCATTTTCCAGGGGTTCACCTCCCACCAGGTGAACCTACCTTTGGGGTAGCCCTGAACCTGCAATCCTTGTGAGGAAGGGTGCCCACTAGGAGCATATGGATTGGCTAGAATCATCAAGGATAAGCTCGAGCTTGCCCAGGACCTTCTGGAGAGTTTCAATGCACTGGGCTTCCCTCAGCAGGCCCCTCCCTCCTGAGTTTTGCTGTCCAGCTGACTGTGCCCTGGGAGCTTTGCCTGGCCCTCCCACTCCAGGGGCTCTATAAGGAGTCACCTCCCTGCTACCTGAGTTCTAGCAGGTGAGCGAAGGAAAGGTCCTGGGTGTCTGACTTCCTCATGCCTACACTCCCAGACTCATATTCTGTCCTTGGGGCTCTGCCCTGGCCACATAGGGGTGTGGGAGTAGAGGCACAGAGGCTGTTCAGTGCTTGCCCAAGGTCACACAGGGAGCAAGTGAGGGCCAGTCCCATCTTGCTCACAGCCTATGCCAGGTCACCTTCCCTTGTGGAGGACAGACAGAGGTCTCTTGTGTGGTGAGTCTTGCTCTGGCTGACCCCACATGAGCCCCTTAGCTCAGACCCAGCCTGATCCATGCTATTTGCCTAAATTTGTTCAACCCTGTCTTCCCACGGGACCCACATGGCCACCGCCAACATCTGTGGGGACACGGCAGAGGAATGCCTAATGAGGGCTCGGCATGGCCCCACCACGGAACACAGGCTGGGACAGATGGTCTATCATTACCTATTTTTATTAATGACTGGCTCTGCATACTGTGATTGGCTCCCAAGCCTCAGGCTTGTTGGACCAACCTTGGTCCCAGCTATTCTGGAAGGAAGAAGCAGCTCTTCATTTAGCCCAATGTGCCTTTCTTCCTGGCTTCCTTGGAGGCCACAGACATTTCTGGCTCAGTTGGTCCCTGCAGTGCTGGGCTAGGCAAGTGTACAGCTGCCACCTGCCCAAGGAGACTGGGCAGAGGGACTAGGGCAGGGACAGACTTAGAGGGCCTGTCCTGGTTATAAGCAGGCAGCAAGACACCAGGACTCAGTTCAGGACTGAGGCTACTCAGAAGCCCCTCTTGAGTCCCCATGTCTGCTGCCCTCTAGCCTGGGCTTAATCATGTCTTCCTTGTCCAGCCCACAGACCCAGGCCTTTGGCCTTGGAAGGGCCTTGGGTGTCTTCCTTGGGGTACTGTGGCAAGCTGATGCTCATGGGTGATATTCTGTATTGAGGTGCACAGCCTTTTTCATTCACATTTGTAGGTGTTCAGGAAACTTGCTTGATCTGGTGGGGGCTCATGGAGGTTCTGGGGTCCTACAGACGTGGTCCCAGGTCCGGCACTGCCTTCAACTTGCAAGGATGCTAGGTGAGTCTCTTTCTGTCTCTGGGCTTCATAGTTCCATCTGTAAAATGGACTACAAAGTGCCTTGTCACCCAGTGCCTGTGTGGCTTATGTGAGCTGCTACCTGGTGGATGACCCAAGAGCATCCCTGCTGCTGTCCCTAGTTGGGCTTTTGTCAAGTCCCTGGGTAGCTGTGGCCTCTGTGAAGTGCCATCATATCTGTAGGACCTCTAACAAGAAGAGAATAGAAAATGCATGGTGGTGAAAGGGACCCACCGCGTCAGACAGGTGAGCTGGGAGGCCCCCAGGCTGCATCGTCCCAGAGACCTGGGGATGGGACAGGCTGGTTGAGCTGCTACGTCCCCTGCAGGCCAGGACACTGAGTTCTCTCAACTTTGTGGTGTGTAGCGTGTTAGCCAGGGAGATAATGGGACATGAAGCACAAGATTTCTAGTCAATAAAAAGGCGCCTTGGAGGCTTTTTATATCTGGCTTCTGTCACACTGGGTAGGCGGTTTATCTGCTGCCCACTTGACAGTCTGTCATAAAGCTGGGTCCCCGCCCTGCTGGAGTCCATCATAGCCTGTCTGGGGCTGCTGCCTGTGGAACCCAGACACCCGAGAACTCAGCTCCAATAGTGGTGCTCGCTGCTGCATGATCAGGAGAGTGGGGGGACTTTGCAGAGATCCAGGTCAGGCAATGAGGTTGGTGGTAGGAACCATGGGTGTGGGCAGCACTGGGACAAAGACCAAGCATCCCCGCCAGGAGGCCTCAGAGGTGGACTCATCATAGGTTGCCCTGAGACTTGCCAAGGACCAAGAGGGGCTGGCCCGAGGAGACCCCTGTCTGAGGCAGGAAGCAGTACCCAGCCCCTCAGAGCCTGCTGGGACCTGGCAGGGTGCATAAAGTCAGCAGCTTCCATGATTGGACAGTAGTGAGCTCCCTAATTTTGGATGAAATCAGAGTGTCCCGATGCCCCACTGGATGAGGTACGAGTGGCAGAAGTGGGAGGCCAGCATCACAAGGGGGTTAGTTTTGCCAAAAATTATTGGGGATATACAATGTCCTAGAAGGAAATAGTGGAGGAGATGACCTTTGAGGTCTTAGGATGGGCCCCCTACCAGCTGTCCCACCTCCCATACTAATTGGTGTTTTAACTGAGCCCAGGAGACTGGAGAATCTCTGCAGACTGGGGGTGGGGTCGGGGTGGGCTCAAGTCCACAAGCAACCCCATAGGAAGTAATTTCTCTGGACACCCTTGATCTTCCCTCCAAGGCTCTGAGGTCTGAACCTTCCCCTTGAGACATTAAAGCCCACCAGAGGAAGTTCCTAGACCAGTGTGCTAGGAGCCAGTGTGGGGGTCAGGGTGACTGTGAATGGAGGCCACAGCCTGACTTACTCCTGTGCATCTGAACTGCAGGATCTGGCCAAATGGAGGGAGCCCAGCCAGAGAGAAGGGAGGCACTGGCCTCCTTCCCGGAGGAAACCCGATCAATTGCTCCCTGCAGCAGAGCCGCCTGGCCCGGATCTCCTACTTATGCTTGCTTCTCCGTCATGATGGAGGGGGTGTTCCATCAGGAGGCAGGGGAGGAGCACGCTGACAGCAAAAGCAGGAGGTGGGACAGTCCAGTTGGTATAGACGTGTTGGCAGCTTGACATTTCTGAATGTCCTTTAGAAAACAGGACCGAAAGATTGAGTTCAGTGCAGCTGAAGTAACCAGGATGGGAATTGTTGTGACTGAATTGTAATCCCTTGCAAAGATATATTGGAGTTCCAACCCCCAGCATCTCAGAACATGACCTTATTTGCAGAGATCAAATGAAAATAAGGTCATTAGGGTGGGTCCTAATCCGATGAGCCTGTGTCCTCATAAAAAGGAGAAGTGTCGAGGGTCCAGCAAGATGACGGCCGAGTGATGATGCCAGGCGTGCTTCCACCATATATTCACTAGATTGCAATAGAACAAAGCCAAAACCCGCTGTAGGAAAAAGCGATGACCACAGCACACACTAGGGGCAAGGGTTGTTGGGGGAGGGGGTAGGAAAAGCTACGTGAACTGTGTTTATAATGACACTGGGTCAGTACAACTCACAGGGGAAGGGGTGGGGGCTGGCAGGGCCCCCACATTTGCTGGCTTACTCAGCACACAGCAGTATCAGGGACGCTTCAGACCCGGCACTGAGCTGGATAAGGGGGCGTATAGACTCAGTGCCCAGGAAGAGGGTGTGCTGTTGGAGAGCTACAGGGGTGCAAAGTGAGGATTACTGGTTTGAACCTGAGGCTGTCAATATAGAACAGCTGGAGCCTGAATCAGCAAGTAGAAACTGCTCAGATCACCTGTGTCTCCTGACAGATGAGGCTGTGACTTGAAGATGAGGCTAGGATATTCGGTAGAAACATTGCAAGTACAAGGGGATCAGGAGGAGATGCTTAAAGTATCTAAAAATCTTGCAGCCTCGAAGGGGAAATGTGGACACAGATAGGCACAGGGGGCAGAGAAATTGCGGAGACATGGGGGCAGACACCATTTGACTGGAGTGACACATCTAAAAGTCACGCATGCCAAGAAGTGCCAGCACCCCTGGGGAGCTGAGAGACCAGGAAGGACCATCCCTTAAGCTACCAAAGGGAGGGTGGCCCTACTGATGCCCTAGTTTCAGAATCTGGTCTCCAGAACTGCAAAAACAACAAGTTTTTATTGTAGGGACTTCACCCCCCTCACCCCACCACCCCAGTCTGTGGCACGTTCATACAGGGACAGATGTGGGTTGGTTGGGGAAACACTCGGAGGCTCTGAGCGCCTGGGGGGTATCACACCAGGATTCCTGCTTGCATCTACCCCTCACGGGCCTTGTGTGCCTGGATGTAGTCAAGTGTGGCTCCCGTCACCCCTGCAGCCCACATCTGGTCTATATTGTTCTAGCTGTTTTGTATTGAAAGCCTCAGGTTCAAACCAGTAATCCTTGCTCTGCACCCCTACAGCTCTCCAACAGCGCACCCTCCCTGTGGGCACCGAGTCTACACAACCCCTTATCCAGCTCAGTGCCAGGTCTCAGGAGTCCCGGATACTGCCGTGTGCTGAGGGAGTGCGGGGTAAGTGAAATGGACAGGCTTTTGTGCTGCTGGCCTCTGTGGCTATTACTGCAGCCTTGGTTGTGCTGGTGCAGGGGGTGCTTGGGAGCGTGGGCTCGGCGTATGCATGCCTGATTGTGGGCACCTCAAGCATGGTGTGGGCATGCGTGAATGTGTACACATGCGCCTGGAGGCAGAGGCTATAAGGGCGGCCTCCCTCAGAGACATGGAGGATGAGTATGGCAGAACAGCTGCAAAAGGAGGGTCATGAGAGAACACCAGAGAAAGCCTAAAGAAAGAGTAAAGATTCGCTGGAGGCTGGGAGGCCTACCAGCCTCCTGGCCCCCTACCCCGTCCAGCCTCTCTGACTTGCCAGCCTGGGAGTGGGGACGTGCCCCACAACAAAGGCATAGAAAGAGATTAAAGCCTAAAAAGGCACTGAGGGCTCTGGGACTTTCCTTTACCCGTCTGCCCAAATTGATAGAGAACCTGCCCTGCACTTGCTGGCACTACAGAGAGCAGCCGTAGGGGCCCTGAGGGACAATCCAGGGTTTGCAAGGGCCCTGGAAGAACCCACATGATCTGGGAGCACATGTGGGTGCAAATAGGTGATGGTGGGATGAGATACTGCACTTGTGGACAAGAGTGCTCGCATGTACACATACATGTGCCAGAGCACATGTGCACTTGTACACGTATTCCTGGATATGGGCCCTAGTTAGCACCATAGTAGGCCTGGGGTGCCAGTCCCCACCAGACCCACTCCCTGCCCACCTGGACTCCTGGAGCAGCAGGCCCCTCTGCTCGCTGCAGTGACTCACCTTGGAGGATCCTGGAGCCTCAAGAGAGGGTCCCCACCATGGCGGGCAGAAGGGCCATTTACTGAGGAGGTACCTTTGTGGAAGGGATGCCCAGGGCTCATTTCAAAGCACCTGTGGTAGGCACCTACTATGTGCAAAGGTGACACTGGTGATCAGATCCATCCTGACCCCTGAGGGATCACAGGGATAAGTTGGGGAAAGAGCATGTTGTGCTGTAGCTTCTCTTGTGGCGGCAGAAGGGGTGCACACACAAGTTCATGAACACTTGTGGCCTTTAACTGCCTCCTCCATCTCAGAGCCTCTGGAGGGACCTGGGGACACCAGGAGCCATAACGCAGAAAGCTCTCTCTCATGTCCTACCACCCCGGGACATCCTTGATCTTTCCCTCCAAGTAGGAAATCCTGGTGGTTAAAATTATTTTTAAGAAATAAAACACTTCTGGGCACAATACACTTAAAAGCTTGCAAAATGTCATTTTTGTTATTTCCTAATTAAGGCCTGTTTTAATTCTTCATTTAGTAGGATGAGTCACAGGAGGGAGCCTGAGGAATGGGGCCTGGATTCTGGGTCACTGGCCTTTAACACCACAGGAAAGCAACCCAGCCTTCAAAACTCAAAGGGGTGTGAGCCCCCTTTTGGTCAGTTTTCCCAAACCTGCCCTACCCACTCCACCTCTGCCTTCTAGGGAAAGGTGGCTTTGGGAACCCGAGACTCAATTGGCCAACACAGATGGGAGGGCCTGTCTGTCTGTCCCTCTTGCCTTCATTCAGACTGCAGACATTGGTTGGTCATTGACAGTGGCCCTGTGCCAGGTCTCAGGAGTCTGTCAGGGACACAGACCTGACAACTTGGGATATCTGAGGGCAGGTGCCCACAGAGAAGGGTCCCATGCTCAACTGCTCTCTTCAATGCACCATGTCACCCCACCCTCATAATGCATACTCCTAATAGTAACTTGGACAATTCAGAAAAATAAAAGAAAGCAAAAAGTACACATAACTTGGCCATTTCTTTCTTATACACACCTATGCATTTTTTTTTTCTTTACAAAACCGAGCTTAGATTATGCTATGCTCTATCCAACACTAACTCACGTGGCTTATCTCAGATATGAATGCCACCAAAGGTGTGCATTACTTCAACCATTGGCTTCCAAGGAGGCAACATCATCCCCACTTTCCTCTGATGATTGTGCAGCTGAAAAGACAGCCTTGAGGTGGGGATCCGGGTACAAAGAGAGGCAAATCCACTTTCGAGGGGTCACACAGGTGAGCACGGCCAGAGCTGGGACCACTGGGAAGCAACATGAGTGTCCAAAGCCTTTAAAAATAGTCTCTCCCTGCTTTGCTCAGCCTGAGAAATCATGTGGTGGGTGGTGCAGTGTGGGATTCTAGATGCCTACCCCCAGAAGGAGAAGCAGGTGCCCCCATATGTCAGAGCACTGCTCAGCAAAGCAGCAACACACAGATACAGCACTATGCATACAGCTCAGAAACACCTGGGATCCAGCGTTTGCAAAATTCCAGAACAGATTTAACTAACCTATGGTGGAAAAGTGTCAGAATCAGGGGGCAGTGGCACATGGGGACTTTTGGGGGTGATGACCTGTGTCTCATAGGGGTTTCAGCTGCAGAGAAGTATATATTAGTCAGGACATCCATTGGTCCCTTGAGATTTATACATTTCCTTGTATGTTGCTAAAAAGATTTTAAAAATTGATAACAAATGTTGAAGTCTAGTTCATGCCTCGCATGCTGCCTATTTAGAGGTAAGTGTACTGACTATACTGTAACTGGAAAGTGATTGATTTACGCATGGAGAGAAAGGTGATAAAGCAAGTGTCATAAAATGTTAATTGTGGAATGTATGTGACGGGTATTTGGGTTTTGTTTTTTTTTTTAAAGATTTATTTATTTATTTATTTATACAAGCACTGGGTACAGTCAGAAGCGCCAGAGGGTGAGAGAATTCACCAGAGCCAGAGCAGAGAGCAGAACAGGCAGACTGACAAAGTACACTGCTGAGGGGAGCAGCGGATGGCAGGAGAGGTCTGTGTGCCATGTGGGTCCCTCCTCCCGTGGCCAGGGAGCATCCGGGGATCGAACTGGCGCTGCAGAGGCCGCGGGCAACTCCGCAACCCAGCGCTCAACCGCTGCGGTGCTGGGGAGGCCCTATTTGGGTGTTCTTTATGAAATTATTTCAACTTCTCTGTACGTTTGAGAATGTCAAAATGAAATGTGAAAAATAATTAAAAAGAGTCCAAACGCTATAGATAAACAGTTTAAAAGGGTCCTAGCTCCTCAGACAAACTGCTGGAAAGTGGCAGCTGTTTGCTAACCATGTTCTCTGAATGTATTTTTCAGCCTCCTGGTGCCTCAGAGTCCTCACTGTAAAGTGGGGATGGTGATGCCATTGACTCCCATCGCAAGACAGAATTAATGTATGTAAAGTGCTTTTGCACAGTAAGTACTAGCACACAGCAGGTGCTAATGGGTATGCATTTTGTTGGTAGAATTCCTCAGCCCTTGAGTTTTCAGGGGTACCACATACACAGCAGCTGCTCAGGGAGGCTGAGGGGCAAACCAGGGCTGCATGGGCCCTGGTAGAGCCCACATGATCTTGAAAAAGAACAATTCAGAGGACTGACACAGGGGGCTATCAAAACTTCCAACTGTAATCAAGACAGAGTTATATGGGCAGAGAGGTAGACATAAAATCAGTAGGGTACCAAGAAAGTGAGTGGAATTTCAACTAATGTACTAGGACAACTGAATAGCCACATGCAAAATAATAGAATTGGACCCCTACCTCATATCATCTTAAAAAATTAACTCAAAAATAGGTCATAGAGGGCCTCTCTGGTGGCGCAAGGGGTTAAGACGCAACCTATGAAGCTGTCCGCAGCCACTGCAGTACAAGTTCAATCCCCGGCCAGGGAGCTACCCACATGGTGCAGCAGACCTCTCCTGTCTCGCCTGCTGCTCCCCTCAGCAATGTATTTCAGTCAATCTGCCTGTTGTGTTCCCCACTCTGTCTCTGGTGAATCCTCTCATTCCCCACACCTCTGGCCTGTACCCCAGTTCTTAAAAAAAATTGATCAAAGACCTAAATATAAGAGCTAAAACTATAGAGCTCTTAGAAGAAAACATAGGCATAAATCTTCATTTTAGGCAAAGATTTTTTATAAATGTGACATCCAAAGTACAAGCAATACAAGAAAAAATTTGGACTTCATCAAAATTAGAAACTTGTGCTGCAAATAATTCCAGAAGAGGGTAAAATAAATCCACAGAAAGGGGGAAATGTTTGCAAATTATATACATAATTAGGGACTTGTTGTCTGGAAAATATATCTCAATAGTCAACAAACCAATTTAAAAATGGGCAAAAGATCCAAAAAGACAATTCTCCAAAAAAGATGCACAAATGGCCAAGAACCACATGAAAAGGCGCACAATATCATTAGCCACCAGAGAAATGCAAATCAAACCACAATGCAATACGACGTCACATTTTAATCAGAAAGACATAATAAAGTTGGAGAGGATGTAGAGAAATTGAAACTCTCATACAGTGCTGGTGGGAATGTGAAATGTTACACCCACTTTGGCAAAGAGTTTGGGATTGCTTGGAAATGTTAAACAGTTACCATGTGACCCAACAATTCCACTCCTATTTATATATCAGAGAGTAATGAAAATATGAAAAAACTTGTTTTTTTTTTATAGCAGCATTATAGTTACAATATCCCCAAAGTAGAAATAACCCAACTATCCAACAACTGATGAATGGATAATAAAATGTGGTATATCCATACAATGGGAAATTATTAAGCAATAAAAGGAACATAATGTGATACATGCTACAATGTACATGAATCTCAAAAACATAGTGCTAACTGAAATAAGCCAATCACGAAATACCACATATTGTATGATTCCTTTGATATGTAATATCCAGAATGATCAAATCCACAGAGACAGAAAGTAGATTAGTGGTTGTCTAGGGTTGGGGATGGTTGTAGGGGATGAGGAGTGATGGCTAATGGGCACAGGGGGGTTACTTTTAGGGTGAAAATGTTCCAAGATTAGATTATGGTGATGAGGCCACAACTCTGTGAATATATTAAAAATGATTGAGTTGTACATTTTAAGTGGGAAGATTATATGGTATGTAAATTATACCTCAATAAAACTTTTTTTTTTTTTAAATAAAAGTATGGCCTTGGGTCCTGACCTGCCCCTGGGGGACTCATCTGTCAAGTCTCTTTCACCCGACGAAGTTCAGTCTTACCCCTGTAGGATGGGGCAGAAAGGTCTGCTTCCCGGGGTTATTGTGAGGATCAGATGAGATGACAGACAAGAAACAGTTTTTTATTTCAGCCTTGTATTTAAATTTATTACAAAAGGAAACATAGGCAACACTACAAAATTCAAATGGCAGGCATGGGTACAGAGTGAAAAAATCTCATTTTGGAGGGTGATGGAAATGTTTAACATCTTGATTGGGGTGGGGATCACAGGGATGTATGTTTGTCAGAGTTCATAGAATTGTGCCTTTGGGAACTGTGGATTTCACTCAATCAAGAATACCTTAAAAATTATTTTTCAGTAAATCCCTATCCCCCCACCCTCCAACCCCCAGCACCTCCATTTCCCTGCAGGAGAGAGTGTTATTTCTAGTTTCAGTTCTCTTCTCAGTTCTGGCAATGCACACACAAGCAAATAAAAGGTTGGTTTTTTTGTTGTTGTTGTTGTTATGCCCTTTTTGTACACAAAAACAAAAAATAAAAAAGGACTATATACACTGTTTGTCCCTTGTTCCTTCTCTCCCCAAGTACTTATCTTGGAGACGGACTTACACCAACATTTATATGGCTGCAAGCATATCAGCATGGATATGCATCTAACTCCTCCACCATCAGTGGGCATTTAAGATGTTTCCAACCTGCTGCTCTTACAAAATGTGCTTCGGTGAATAACCTTGTACACAGTAATATATCATTTTTCACATTTCTGAGCAGTAACTGGAGGACAGGTTTTAAGAAGTAAATCCTGGACCAAAGGATATAGGTATTTGGAATTTTGACATTTTTCTGAGGCTTCTAGATTGTCTGCTTCCCCACACTATTGCAACAGGTTATGTCATTAAACTTTTCATCTCTGCCCATCTGATGTCTCAGAATAGTTTTAATTTGCATGTCTGCTGTTAAGCATGAGACTGGAAGCTTTTTCATATGTTTAAGCATTCTTTTTCTGTTCATGATCTCTTACCAAATTTTTCCTCTTGGGTATTTTTCTTATTGATTTGTAAGAGCTCTTTATATATGGGGAAATTGGCCCTTTGCTACAGATGTAAGTTGGACATTTTGTTTACTTATGTTCCTCCTCCTCTTTCCATGCACACCGTCAGTTACTCCCAACCAGGTGATCCTTAGAGGGGAGAGGAGCAATTGCAGGGATGCAGAGACATGTAGAAAGTCCTCATTTACTCTGAAACTGTGACATCCTCTGTGGTGGTAGTTCTGGGGCACTGGGACATGGGGATGAAGTACTGTCCTGCTCTCCTGAGCTCAGAGCCTGGTAGAAGACCCACTGTGATGAGAACTTGGCCAGAGAATACCAAGGCATAGAGAGGGACTCCAATGATGCAGGGAAGGAAGGCAGCAGTCAATAGCTCCGGGTTGCCTCTTCCCAAAGAGCACTGGGTGGGTGGTTTGTTTTTAATAAGGAGGACAGTCTTGCTGAACCAGTTCCTTTGGAATCTTAGACTTGTCATGAAATGGGAGGTGCTGCTAGTACTCACTTCTAGAGTGGTTATGAGGACTACCTGAATTGATGATGCAAATTGCACAGGAGGCGAATTTCATATTTCCATACAGCATGCATGGGTGTGAGTTGCAAGGTTTAGGTCTTGGGATATATTTGATTTGGGGGTGTATGAGCAGAATGCCATACAAGTGCACACACCAACTACATTTTAAGCTGTGTTTCTGTGAGGGTGGGGTGATGTTGGGGTGTTCTGTGAGGGGATGGACATGAGGGGCAAGATGAGGGCTGTTTGTAGACATGCAGTGTGTGGGTACAATGTGTGTGCACAACAGAGCTGGCGTTTGGGTACATGTGGTTGTGGGGGAGGGTTCAGAAGGATGTGAGTAGTGTCTGGGGGAGAGAGAGAGAATGTCACAATAGACACCTCCAGAAGGGAGGGAGGGCTCCAGCTGCCTTGCCTCCCTACCACTGCTTTTAGATCTGCCCTGAGTCTTCCCATTCCCACCTTGAGGGGTGTCAGGCCTTTTGGGGGGGTGCTAGAAATTTGGATCTGCCTTCTCAGAGAAAATAAGGACCTATTTCAAGATCTCAAAGGGCTGCAGAAGGAATTATGGGGTGAAAGGCAGGAAGGGGGTCCACAGGAGAACTCCTCTCTGATCTATGGAACCAGGTGAGGGATTTTCAAGATCCTGGCACGTTGGAGAGAAAAGGAACTGCATGCTGTCTGGGCTACAGTAGAGGGGGCAATTCTCTTCCACTAGGGACATAGGAAGGGAGATCCCCAAGGCCAATCACTACCAGCCATCTTTCCCAGGAGGTCTGAGCACCGGGTGCATGGACCATGGGACACAAGGACTGGATGGCCTGCAGATAGTGGCTCTGTCCTTTACCGTTATCCTCAGGTCCAAGGGTTTAGGGGAAAGAGGATGGCATCTACTCCCACCCCACCCTCCTTTGGGGTTTCCTTGCCTCCCTTTCCTGCAGGGTCTTGGAATTTGGAGGCCGCAAGGACTTAGGAGAAGTGCACAGGACACCAGGCTGCAGGCTGAATTCATGGGCTGCAGAGGCTGCTGACCAGACCCTGAGCCGGAGCCCCGCCCACCCATCCTCGGCCCTACCAGCCGTAGGTGGGTCTGACTACAGCCTCACACTCCTGTCCCACGCCTGACAGAGGTTTCCTTCCACAGGGGCATCACAAGGAGAACTCCCTCACCCTCCAGCAGCCCCCTCCCCTTTGCCGCGCGCCCTCCAAGGCAGGCAACCTGACCCCATCGCCTCTGCCTCCGTAAGTTCCACGTGGACAGGACAACCGGACAGGGGTGCATGGGGGGCAGCATCTGGAGGGTCGTACCGGGCGGGGGCCTCCCTCCCAGTCCCGCGGCTGGGAACCTTACGACTCGCTAAGTCACGCGCAGGGCGTGGCCGGGCGGGGGCGCTCTTGAGCCTGGTTTGGAATTTTTACCCGCGCCGAGAGCCGCAGGCTGGGGTCGGGGCGGTGGGCGGTGAGAGTTACCCCGGGAAGCGGTGCAGCAGTTCAGCGTGGGCTCGGGGGGACTTGGGGACTATGGAATTAGAGCTCGGTTTAGAGCCCGGCCGAGAGATTCCGGATCCCAGGGAATTCGGGAGGCGAATGAAGAAGGGGAAGGGGCCGGATGGAAGGAAAATCCGCTTAAACGAATCTTCCGGGAATCCGAAGGGGCTCGGCTGAGCCCGCGCCCCGGCCTTACACCCAATCCAAACAGGGGGCCGGGGGCGGGGGCACCTAGCAATGGGAGGGTGGGGGGGTGGGGGGGGTCAGCCCTCTCGGCAGGGCCCGTCCGCCAGGGCTCGCCTGTTCTCTCGCCTTTGCCCACACGTGCCCAGCCCTCCTCCTGCCCGACACGCGCGCCCTTGCTGCCTGCGCCTTTGCACTCGCGGACGCGCGCGCCCAGGGGCCGACTTCGGGTCAACTTTCACGCAGTTCCTCGGGCGTGTGTGCACACGCGTGTGCATGTCCGCGCGGCGGCACAGCTCCTCCCCGGGAGTCCCACCTCGCGCCGCCACCCCTTGGTCTGGAGTCCTAAACCTTCGGGGGTTTCTGCCCCCAATAGCGGCCCGGGCGGGAGCAGGGGGCGCGCGGGGCGGGCCCGGAGGAGAGGGCATGGCTACTTCTGGGCTCCCCACGCCGCCCCACCGCACGCTGTGACTTCTCCTCCCGTGCCACCCGCCGGGCCTCGCCCCTCCCCGTCCACCGACGAGCTGGCCGCCCCTCGGGCCGCCCCCACGCGCGTCCCCCGCCCCTCTCCAGCCCTCCCCGCTCGGGCTGCCACACGAAGCCCTCGATCACGCTCAGAAAGAATGTGCTACAACCTCGGCGCTGCCGCGGCCGCCGCCACCAAGCCCGCGCCGGAGCCGGAGCCGGAGCCGGAGCCGGAGCCGGAGCCGGAGCCGCCCCGCACCGCGGCGTCGCCCGCGCGGCTGCTCCCCCGCCGGCCCCGCCGGCCCCGGGCTCCGGGCGCGCGGTCCCCGCCGCCGCCCCGCGCTCGCCCCGCGCTTGACGCAGTGAGCACCGCATCCCGGCTCCCGCCGGCGCCGCTCGGCTCGCGGGCGCAGGCCGGGCCCCGCCGCGAGGGCGCGGGGAGGGCGGGCGGGGCGCGAGGGGGAGGAGAGTGTCTGGAGCCGGCGAGCCCGGAGGAAGCGGAGCTGGAAGCAGGGGAAGCCGCCGCCGCCGCCCGCCGAGGACCTGGACGCGCGCGCTCTGCCCGCCCGCGGCGGCGCCGCCAGCCCCCGCCCGCGCCCCGGCCCAGGTAGGAGGCGGCTCGCGGGAGGAGGGGGCTGCGCGGGGGCCGCGGCGGGCGGGGGTCCCCCGCGCCGCCGCTGCGAGGCCACGGGGTCCCCGCCCCTGTGGGAGGCGGGCAAGAGGCTCTCCCGCGGCGGCGCTGGGGGCGGGCGCCGGGTCCCCGGAGACTCGCAACCCGGCCGCCCCGGCCCCGGCCGTCTGCGCTGGGCGTCCGCGCCGGGGCCGGGAACCCCGGTCCGCGAGGTTTCGGCTACTGCGCGTCGGCCCGCGGTTCCCTGGCGCCCCCCACACCCACCGGGTTCAGAGGCGGGCGCACCTGAAGTTAACGGTGGCGGAGCCCCAGCCGGACAAACTTCCTTCTCTGAAGCCGTGGCCCGAAGAGCTGGGGAGCCGGCCCCTTCCGGCTAGGAGGTGCCGCGGGGACCCCGAAACTTTCCTGAGCTCTCTAAGAGCGAAAGGCTGGCTGGGCAGGAAGTGGGGGAAGGCGATGGGCTTGGGTGTCAGCGCACGGTGATAGCCACGGCGCCCCAAGTTGACCTGGAGACTTCCCTCCCAATCTGGAACCCCATCTTGTAGTGGAGGGCGGTCAGGGAGTGGACGATGGGCGCCCAACCTTCGCTCGGCCGGGGTGGGGTGGGGGTGGGGTGGAGGAAGCAGAGCTTGCCCCGCGCCGCGGGAGGCCTTGGAATGGGTGTTGTAGGAACCCCCCTCCACCACACACACACACACACACACACACACACACACACCACACACACAACACACACACACGCACACACCCCATCTCCAGGCTCTGCCCGCTCTCGGGAAGGACCCGGCCACCGGCTATTAATAGGCGCCTGTGATCCGAACCTCTCCCCCCAGGGAGGCCGGGAAACTGGGCTTGGCGTTGGGGTGGAGCAGGACCCCGGGTCCAGAACTGACCCCTTCCCCTGTTCTCGTGGTCCCTCCCGCTTCTGTTGCTCTTTCCTCCACACCCCCTGCACTCTCGATTCCTCTCGGTTCTCGGGGGTGTCACCCCCCAACTTTTTCTCTTTCCAAACTGCACAGGGCGGCCTGTGGCCACTCTGTCAGTCAGGCGTCCGGTCAGACGGGCCGAATTTGAGCACAGTCCCCAACTGAATACTCCTCCTGTATGGCTGCGGGGGTCCCTGCGACCGGACGGTCCACGGATGAGCGGAATTTCCTTCCATGAGCTTCTCTGCCTCCCAATCCACACATGGACGCTACATAGTCACCTGGCCCTGCGTCCGCCCCATCCCGTCAGAGGGGGCAGTGGGGAACCGGTGGTCGCTGCAGGCAGCTGAGGGAGGTGTGGAGAGCAGAGGGCTCCCCAGAGGGCTCCCCAGAGGGCTCTGGAGTGTAGCCACAGCTGCAAGTGCAGAGAGGAGGCGGTGTTCTGGAGGCCCCCTTCCACCGGCGTTTCTGCACCGGGAAGGCCCCGGAGGATTGCGTTTCCTCCCTCACCCCACCCCACCCCACCCCAACATTCAGATCCGAGCCCGAGTAGATTTGAGAATTTGAGAGTTGGAGGATTGGGGTACTTCTTCCTGTCTCCTCTGCAGAGCCCCGCCCCTAAACAGCTTGGGGGTCTATGTCCCCGGAGCTGACCTCCGGCCCCGCCCCCTCTCGGTCCACTCCGGGACCCCAAGCTCCTCAGCTAGCAGCGCTGGAACAGTCTCCGAGCTTTGGAGGGCGAGGTGTCGCCTCCTTTCCCCTGCTCAGGGTCTGGGGGTGGAGTAGGGGGCGTGGAGCTAGGCACTGGGTGCCTGACAGATGTCCTCGCGGCGGCGCCGATTCTCAATAACAGAATTAATGACTTACGCGCAGGCCGCCAAGCGGCGCGGCCACGGGGAGGGGCGAGGCTCGGGGGAGGTCGCAGGCTGCTCCCGCAGCCTCTGCTTTGGGTTGGGGTGCAATCAGTAGGACCCCTGTGCCCAGACGCTCCATCCAGCTTCCAATTCCCTGTGCCCCAACTCTCCTAGGTCCCCCTTCGCCTCCCCCCACCCCTCAAACACACACACATTTTCTCTCAAGGATCCCTCAGTTGCTGGGACCCTTTTGGCTGGAATATTTACTGCATCCCTCCAGGGACCTCTAAGCCCCTCCTCAGAACCCTGACCCTGAGCACCAACAAACTTCACTGTGCTTGGGGCAGTGCATGTCATCCGGCTCTAAGACAGTCAGTCAGCCAGCCTCGGCTTGCACACCGCAGAAGTGGGCTCACAGCCCTGTGCCAGGGGAGTAGCCAGTAGGTGGGTGATGCAATCATAGGCAGCCACATCGCTCAGCCCCTGATACACCAGATGCCAATCAAAGGCCAATCTAGACATTCCAGAGGCTGAGCTGCTCTTTGCCAACATGGAGGGGGGCAGTTGGGAAGGGGAAGTTTGTCACCTCTGGTGGGGCTTGCCTAGGAAAGGCTGCGCTGGGGTGCCAGTCTCTCCTGTTCATACCCATACAGGCCAGATAAGGCCAGAGGGTGGAAGGTTTTCTTGGATCTTCCAAGATTGAGGAGGGACATGGGGGAGGGCTAGTTTCTCCCAGCTAGAGCCCAGTTGGGGAGGCCTTTCATCCAGCAGGAGCCCTCTTGCCACCCCCTCTGCCCTGGCCTGGTGCATGGGCAGCTTACAGTATTTATCTGGCAGATAAACAAGGGCCATCCCTGGCCTGCAGCCTGCTGTGACAGGGGTCCAGGAAGGGGAAGCTCGAGGTGAAGGCTGCAACTCAGATAGCCCAATGGCCCAACTGAGGCTTCCCTGAACCTCACCTGCTCCTGGAGCTGTGAGAGGTGTCTGGGCATACTGCCCCAGAACTTGTGCACGACCTAGAAGGCAGGAGGGGGGCCACAAAGCACTCACTTCCTAAATTCCAGCCAGACAGGGTGAAGACAGCTCATGCCCACAGTGCCCATGTGCCCTCCTCCGATCCCCCTCCTTCTGAGCCCAGCCTTGCTGGGGTGTGGGGGCCTTGCCAGACCATATAGGAGTCGCTTGTGCTGTGGGCGTTCATTCACATTCCCTCTCCGGTCCCACACACTGTAGGATTTATCTTGATTTGCTGCCTTTGAATTGAGTCAACTCTTTTGTATGCTCGGTGAATTGCCCAGCTGCTGGCGGGGAGCGCAGAGCGTGCCGGGGGTGCTGAGGCCGGGAATCGCAGGCGGGCGGGGGACAGGAAGCAGGGAGGGCTGCGCGGGGACACTAGCGGCACCGAGGCGCGGCCCGAACCCGAGCTGGTTAGGGCACTGCCGGCGGGTCCCAAGGGAGGAGTCCAGAGCGCTCCGTCCTGGGGGTAGGGGTTGCGGTTCGGGCTTCCCTCTGGACGGGCTGTGTGGTGTGGGGCAAGTCTCTGGGGCCTGTCTTGACTCAGTTTCCTCACTTGTAACTCAGGAAAGGGACGCTTCCCCGCACGCAGGTTGTGAGCATCACACTGAGCGGGAGTGTCCCCCCGCCCCCGCCCCGCCTCGCGCTCTCACCCCGGGCATCCAGAGAGAGAAGGAAGGG